GCTTCAACGTGTAAAAATGTTATAATATGATGACTCTCTTTTGTACTAAACCTAGGGGGGGCAGTGAAACCCCAAGAACCTACACCTGAGCCAGCCCCTGCCCAGGAGCCTGTGCCCAAAGCAGTCCCTACCCCAACTCTACCACCCACCACGCAGCAGCCCAAACCCCAGGCTCAAGCTGCACCTGAACCCACTCCTGGGAAGCCAACGGAACTGCCCCCAAAACCCCAACCTCCCAAACCTCTTCCCCCAAAGCCTGTGCCTCCAGTTCGGAGGAACTCCAAACCTATGATACAACCCAAACCCCAAACCCCACCTCTCACCAAGGCCCAACCAAAAGCTCAACTGGGAGACAGAGATCAGAATCCTGGTCAAACCCAGCCAGATCCGGTCCTTGCTCAAGAGCAATCCCCAGCCAAAGTTCCTATTAAACCCCCATCGCCAGCTAAACCTCAGCTCCAGCCTAAACCGGTGCTCAGAGAGCAAGTCAAACCTGAAGCCCAAGATCAGACTACTGCCCCATCTGAGGCACTCTCAGCCCCTGTTAGAGCAACTCCTTCCCCTGCTCCCACCCCGGCCCTGGCCCAACCTACCTCAGTGAAACCCACCCATTCTCAGCCTCCTGTGGAGGATCAGCCTGCACCCCAGCAGAAGTCAACTCATCCTCTGTTGAAGTAAGAATCTTTTCACTATTGCTTCAGTGCTTGGAGATCATTTGCTGCAAGGCATGTCCATGTCCAAGAAACCGTTCTGCAATTCCTGGAGGGCCACTCTCCAGCAGCGTTTAGCCCCAACCCTAATTAAACACACCTGAACCAACTAATCAAGGTCTTCAGACTCAATAGAAACTTCCACGCAAGTGTGTTGGAGCTGGTTGGAGCTAAGCTCTGCAGGATGTTGGCGCTCCAGGAGCAGGATTGGACACCCCTTCCCTACATTAGGGGTGCCTCTCCTGGAGAAGTGGGCTAAATCCCATTTTGACTGCTATAAAAATGTATACACTATGCTGGTGGTGGTAAACCTTAACTTTGACATATGAAGTAAGCCAATATGCCAAACTCGAAGAAATGATGCAAGTCAGTTCTCTTTTTTTTTTTTCAATGTACTATGTTTTGGGACCTGCTAATCCAAGCGTAGCATAGAATATAGGACGGACAGTATGTGAGTTGAAATGCAGTCCTACCTTCCTGCACGACTCAGCTCTGCTCTACCTTACCCGCTTGTGCTTTTTAAGTGAAATCGAATCCTGTAATTGGCCTGGTTTAGAGCTGCAAACTCTGCAGGAAGGTAAATCTCCATGAGTGGGATTGGGATCCTCTGCCTTCAACACCTTACTTTCGTGTTCACTGAAATTACATGAATTCCCAAATGAAGGCGTAACTTCAAAGATGATCTAATTTGCCTTCTACTGTGCTCACTGTTTTGCAGCAAATCCCAGTCCTTGACCAACGCCTTTAACGCCTTTGGCGAGACCTTCCGCTCCAGCAACGAGGATGAAGCTAAGGCGGAGACCATTCGAAACTTGCGAAAGTCTTTTGCAAGCCTGTTCTCTGACTAATGACAAACTCCCGCAGCCCAAAAGGTGGCCAGGGACTTGACAGATATGTATCCTGGTCTGAGGTTAATTCCATGTAGCTGTGTACATTTAACCCCTCCTCCCAACTCTGCTGTAATTATCCGAGTGTTAATTAAGAAGGTTAGAGTGATGTACAGTGATTGTTCTCGCAAGATGTTGGTGTTTACATTTTTTTGAGTCGCTCTGCCCCGAAACACTGGGATTTATATGAGGAGGGGTTGGCTCTTAGGCGATCAGTTACAGGAGGCTGGAGTATGCAGAAGTCACCTATAACCCCTCGATGTTGTAGCTGTATCGTGGTAGTGTGTTTTCTTTACCCAGAGACACATATTTGTGACTAGCTTCCCTTGTTTATCCCCTGTAGTGTGTGTGCGTGTAACTAGTTGGTGTGTTGTAAGCTTTAGCCAGTAAGACATTAGTTCAACAATTCCTCGGGATCTTTATAAAAGCACTTTCCTATTCAAGTTTCCTACAGTAATCAATGCTTGGACTGGTCGGTTTCAGTGCAGTGGTGGGATTTCAGTGGAACGCCTGGTGTTTTAGCGACATAGCTTGCATCCAGCATTTATCAACCTGTCAAGATATTCATGAGTGTCATGTTTATAGTATCTCTGCATATTGTATTGTACTGTATGTTTAACATCTCAGGAGTTTAATTTGAATATATGTTTATTCTGGCGTCACACTGTTCGTGTTGTGTTTTCTTTGTGCGCAATGATATTGCTTTGCATGACCTGGTGATAATTGTTTTCTCTGTACAAGTGTCAATAAACATGTGGCACATCATTCCACTGACATACCGGCGTGCTCTGTGCTCCGTTTGCAGTCTGCCCGTTATGTGTACATTCAGCTGAAGCATCGAGTGGCGACACGTACCGTCGTTATGCATGTATTTGTAGCCTTTTTTTTTGCAGTATTTGTTTGTTTCTTCACATTTTTAGAACCAGAGGACCCAATCAGTAAGTGCAAACACCAATTACCCTGCCCATTTGGTTTTCAAAAGCTATGCTTTGGAAAAAAAAAATGTGTGTACTTTGTGACAAATAAATCTTTAGTCTCATCTGAGAGATGGCTAAAGCGTGCAACTCTTATTTGTGAAGCAAGATTGAAAGAGTGAGCAACTGTATTCATGAAGCTTAGAGAATATGAATTTCCAGAAGGTGGCAGTAAATGACTAATGTTTTTGCTAACTGTTTATGGTTAAATGGTAAATGTTGGTCAGCCTATGCCATCACATCCCATCCAGTAAACTATACTAACACTATTATACAAAAAGTGAGCGTGGAAAAAATGTAGACACTGAACGCCTTGAAAGTCATTAGCACTCATTTGTCACAAGACTCAAGAGCTCCACAGGTCTGATAATGAAGTAAATCTACCTTCCCATGACATACAGTGAAAACACATATGTCTTCAAAACTATAATTCAGCTCTCAATAATATTTAAAATGTGATGTGAAAAGGGCTGATATCAGAATGTAATTATAATCCTCGTCACATTTTCCCTTTTTAGTTATAAAGACTGAGGACACTACAGAAGAGTCAGGGCTACAAATTCAGGAACAGAAAAACTTGCATGGTTGAATTCTCACATTGCACTTGTATTCTGGGAGCAAATCACTTTGTTATCACTACATGACTCCACCCCTTCCTTACATATTAAAGTATTATTTTTTATTCATACATAGCAATCCTGCTCATGAATGACACTAATATGTGCACACAACCTGTCACTTCACTCTGGTTTTTCTCTCAATGCTTTTGTCCAGCCACATGACTGATGTTAGAGACGTCTGCCTCTCTCCACATCTGTATCCAAGCGTGTGATCATGTGAAACAATGATACAATATTCTGTAACTTCAAATAATTGTTATAGCTATTGCAGTGGATTTCAAAAGCAGCTGAGGCAGAAAGGTTCAATGATACACAGAGGGAAATTGAGAGAAACTGCCCACGCTGAATCCATTAAGAGCTCATACTTTGATACGACCTGATGTAATGATTATTACAAACAAATATGATTTGGCTTCATTGTTTGCCAGCTGAAAGCAGCGGTGCGCGTCCTCATGCAATTCCACATACAACGAAGCGTTCATAAGGAATTATTAATTATTATTTTACATCTAGCTGTATGAATTTCACCATACCAATAATGATATAAAAAAAATATCTAAATGAAATTTGGCTAAATGCCTAAATGACTAGTTTTAGCGCTTGGAGCATTTTTCGTGATCTCACTGGGTGCAGGTGGAGTATTACGTGGCGTAATGCAGTTAATTTGGCACAGATTTCTTAGGCTCTTCCGCATTGCTCCATGAGTTCCAAAGGTGTTCCTGATGGGAGGAGAAACAGAGTGGCCGCGTCTCAAACCATGCCGAGCTGCCTAACTAGACGCGATTAGAATTCTAGGCATTTTCAAATGAATCTTTTCGAACATTTATTGAAAAGTTCTTTTGATCAAAGAATAATTTCGAATCTGAAGAGTCTTTTTTTTTTTTTTGGTTTAAAGAGCATTATGCATCTTTTTTTAAAATCTAAATTAAAAGTGTAATTCATTTACGGAATGTTTTAGAAAAACATTTTGGCAATCAAAAGTATATACTCAAACCATGCCGAGCTGCCTAACTAGACGCGATTAGAATTCTAGGCATTTTCAAATGAATCTTTTCGAACATTTATTGAAAAGTTCTTTTGATCAAAGAATAATTTCGAATCTGAAGAGTCTTTTTTTTTTTTTTTGGTTTAAAGAGCATTATGCATCTTTTTTTTTAAATCTAAATTAAAAGTGTAATTCATTTACGGAATGTTTTAGAAAAACATTTTGGCAATCAAAAGTATATATATATAATTTAGAACAGATTTTTAGAATCGTGTAGAAATACTTAATCTACATCATGTTTTAAAATAGAATCACTTTATGCATCGAATCTGTATGCAACGTATATATATTGTTTATAGTGTAATAGTCTTTAAATAGACCTTTATAGACGCGTGCAACATTTTTGGGCACATCTATTATAGATATGTGTGTGTGTGTGTGTGTGTGTGTGTGTGTGTGTGTGTGTGCGAGAGAGAGAGAGAGAGAGAGAGAGAGGAAAGCGCATATAATCCCCCAAAATCAATGCTGTCTAGGTAGGCAGCTCGCTAGGTTTGAGACACCGACACTAGTTGTATTCTACTTGCCCCGCGCATCTCTGCGCTTCATAGCTCTCAAGCCCTGTCTCCTGCACTGTAACTCAGCCCGAGCCGAACCTGTTGCACGCAGCCTGCTGTGGAGCTCTCGCGCGCGGCACACCGGACAGCAGCAGAGTTTGGTGCCGACACCAGGAGGACATATCTTTAGCGTCACTGAACACCTTCAAGAGACCCCTGCAGGTCAGTGCACTCACAGACCACCTCTATTGAGCAGCAGGTGAATACTGATCGTTTACTCTGAGTCTGCTAACTTACATACATGCTGCACAGCCGTTTCACTATTAAAAAGCCATCATATACTTCGGGTAAGTGTGAACCAAGATCTTATAACATTACTTTATATGAGTAAAGTGCATACAGTAGGCTTTTTGAGATGAATTCTGAGAATCTGTGAATACACTGTTGAGTGACAGGCGAGTGTAGTTTGACAGATTTCAACAGATTTCAACATTCAGGGACCATAACATCGCTGTAAAATCTTCACATTACATATCAGACTACAGCAGAAATCATCAGCATTACCAGGGATGTTTCTGTCTGGGTTTATTTAGTGGAAAGCGTTTGACTGTTATAGTGAACAATTTACAGTACATTTAGATCAATATAGAGGCCTCCAAAAGTGTTTGGACATTTTGGCTACATTGTTTGAATGCCATTGCTTTTGGCGTATTAAAAAACAATAGTAAAACGTTTTTTATGGTTAAAATGCTAAAACAATAATATATTGTTTAATATATTGTTTGTTTTGTGTGTGTGTGTGTGTGTGTGTGTGTGTTCCTCTACATCTGTGGTTCCTCTGAAAGCACACCTGTGCGAACACTAAAAAACATCCCAAAATCACCAAATCTCAAAAATGAGCTCTGATAAAAGCTCCTTCGGAATTGAAGAACAGATGATACTTGATGTGGTGTTTTGTTATTTCTCTTAAATGTCCAGATCTGTCCAAACAGCCCACTATATGCTGCTTAGTTAATTATTTTTTACTTTATTTTAAACAGAGAATTGATTTTTCAGCAATCACAACACAAACTATATTTAAGCTGAGATTTAGACTGTAGAGATTAAGCTGTGTTTCGTCTGTAGTGTTAATAGTGAAAATTCTGGCTTAGTAGAGCCAATTACTTTGCATGTTTTAACTGAGTAAAAGTTCTACGTGTCAAATTTACAGAAATACTCTCAAATAACATTTACTACTTACTAGATGTTGAACATCAATGTAAAGTAGCATTATGGAGATGGTAAATATATGAAACCTTAGTGTTGTTTCATATCCACAGCCGCGTGTGATCACTGGGTTTTTGTGAAGCACTATTCTCTGCTTTAGAACAACATTTTAAACACTGATCAAGTTGCCCAGCTAACATACTCTTCAAACTATAGCTGCGTCTATGTAATCTCATGTCACAATCATTTGAGTCAGATGAAGTAATTTACTGTAATTACTGTATGAATGTTTCAGTGTCCTAAAGACAGATATATCATCATAATTTCTGACATTTGGTTCTTATCTAAAACTGGATGTTTTTGTTTGTTTGTTTGTTTGATGTGATTGTTGAGAGCACAGTATGAATTTTCACTAAAACATTATCAACCAGAACTGAATGCAAGCTGACATCTACTAGCGTAAGTTTCATCATGTTCTAATTCATGAACTTCAGTAACGCATCTATAAAAAAGAACAAAATATCTTTGCCGATGTAAGCACCCTTTAATTCAAGAACTGAAGTCAGATTCTTGTGACTGTCACAAATAGCGACTAACGCACAAAGTCTGGCCTGCTGTTATTTAGGGAAATCAAAGAACCTTATGACATTTCTGATGCGTTACACAAATTGTGAAATTAATATGAAAGAGTGGTCACGAAATATCTAATTCTGCATTACCCGTAAATCTGAGGTCAGCTTTTCTCATTCTGTTCAGACTGTGCTTTTGCATAGTAAGTAATCGTAAAAGTGGGAGGGCAAGAAAGAAAAAAAAAGGAAAATAAAAAACAGAAACTGAAAACCGAAATTGAAAATTTAGAGTTCTGCCCGTAATTGTTGTGTGTTTTATTGTGATGTGTACATGCACATTTGTCTTATGTACAGTGTGCTGTTTACGTCGTCGTTGTGTTTGTGTGTGTTGTACAGTGGGGTCCAAAAGTCTGAGACTAGTGAAAATGCACCTGTTGTCTGTTTTAACACGAATGTTCCATTACAAACTCTATCATCAGTATTGTGATTTTAAATGTGAACATAAATTCAATATTTTATCTCTTTGATGTGCATGATTTAAAAACAACATCTTGTGCTTTAGTGGAAGCAAGAAAATTTGATTAGTCGCCTAGAAATCGAAAATATTTTTTTATATATTATATTTTATATATTTAATACATACATAATTTTATTTAATTTTTTTCTTTTTGGGATTTTTAAGTTGTATTTATAAAAAAAAAAAAGGAAAATAAAAAACAGAAACTGAAAACCGAAATTGAAAATTTAGAGTTCTGCCCGTAATTGTTGTGTGTTTTATTGTGATGTGTACATGCACATTTGTCTTATGTACAGTGTGCTGTTTACATCGTCGTTGTGTTTGTGTGTGTTGTACAGTGGGGTCCAAAAGTCTGAGACTAGTGAAAATGCACCTGTTGTCTGTTTTAACACGAATGTTCCATTACAAACTCTATCATCAGTATTGTGATTTTAAATGTGAACATAAATTCAATATTTTATCTCTTTGATGTGCATGATTTAAAAACAACATCTTGTGCTTTAGTGGAAGCAAGAAAATTTGATTAGTCGCCTAGAAATCGAAAATATTTTTTTATATATTATATTTTATATATTTAATACATACATAATTTTATTTAATTTTTTTCTTTTTGGGATTTTTAAGTTGTATTTATTTATTTATTTTAATTTTTTTTGGTTTCACTTTATTTTGATGGTCCCTTTAACATATTCTGTTGCGCACAACTCTCATTAGAGTATTAGTAGAGGATTAGTAGACTGGTAGGGTTAGGGTTAGAATAAGTTGGCATGCACTTGCAAAGTCACTTATAGTCAGTAGAACGTCTGTTGGGAGACCATCACAATAAAGGGTTAGCAGATATTAAGAAAACAGTCTGTTAATACTCTGATGAGAGTTAGTAGACCATCAAAATAAAGTGTTACCATTTTTTTCTTTGGTTGAATTAGCGTTTGAATCCCAGATTTTCAGTGAGTTTTCAGATTTTAGCATGTTGAAAAGCTCAGGGAATGTACAGTGAAGCCGTTTGAGATGAGACAGTCTGACCTGTTATATAACTGGCGTGCACCGAGGTGGACTTTACCCTGTTGTCATAAATGTAAGGTGTGGAAATCGCAGCAGAAACCCTGTTTACACTGATTTTTAATGCTAAAATGCTTGTGACTTTGTGCTGCACATGCTATACTGACAGATTCTGGCTCTTTGCTCATTTAGTTCTGATGCACTGAAAACTACTGAGACATGAACACTCAGTAAACACAGTCTTCACGGTAAAGCTTTTACAGTATAAGCTGAGTACAGTGTGTGTGTGTGTGCGTCTGCGTGTGTGTGTGTGTGTTTGAGTGTGTGTGTGTGTGGGCGAGTGTGTGTATGTGTGTTTGTGTTTGTGTGTGTGTTTGTGTGCGTGCGTGCGTGTGTGTGTGGGGGCGAGTGTGGGGGGGGGGGGCGTGTTTGTGTGTGTGTGCATTTACAGGAGTGGCTGTTTGGTTTCAGCGTAAAGATGATGGATTGCGTCTCTTTTGAAATGGCCCAGATATGCTTTAGTGCATTATCTTGCACGTGTTCGCACACAGATTGCAGGATTATACAGAAGCATTGACTTCATTAGAGGCCATAAGCCACACCTTATCCAAAGACGCCTCCTTCACCTTGCATTTCAGTGGGCTGGAACTTCAGTTCCAAGAACCAGTTATGGCACCATTGCATGCGTGGAGGCATATGCATCTTTGGGCTGTTTGCGGTGTGCATGTGTGTGTGTGCGCTTTAGTGTTGATTCGTGTCAGTTTACTGGTGCTAATTTATCAATGCTTATTGGTTACATTTTAATTCGACAGTCCACTTTAGACATAAGTAACTTTGCCTCTACATGTGAGCTAGCTCTCATTAGTTGACTGTTAGGTTAGGGTTAGGCTTAATAGAATAAGTAAACATGCACTTGCATAGTTACTTACAGTTAGTAGATTGCATAAGTGGACTGTCAAAATAAAGTATCACCTGCTTTTTTTATCATTTAAGTATCATTTTTTAATCCAACCTATAAAGTATCCACGTTACAAACAAGATTTGAATACTGACATTTCAAAAGTATGGAAAATGACATTAATATTTCAGAGCATTGTCATTCAGAAATACATTTGAACGTTGAGAAACCAGCTGAGAAATATATTTTTATAGACGGTGTGCAAAACTACAATGCTTTTATAATTGCATCTATCAAACGAAAGCGGAATGGATTTCTGTGTAAATCATTTGTACTTTGCATTTTTGGCCTGAAGTGAATTTTGGTTTTGTGGTTTTGTGAACGCTTCACACAGAAATCCGTTCCGCTCGTGTGTTATGAATGTGAATGTGCATTCTTATCTCCTGCTCTTATGGCGTTTAATTACAACCATGATGCAATATTACAGTGTCCATAAACAAGCGTACGATATGAAACGGAGCACTTAGGGTGAAGTCCAGAAGGCCCCAGGATTTCAGAGACGTGGTCGTATCAAAGACTGTAATTCATGCTGAAGGCTCGATGTCAGCAAGACACTAAACATTTTTGGGAACGAGCTCCGAGTCGCTTCCCAAAGATCTTTCACAGTAGCATGTTTTTAGTCATGATGTGACCAAAACTAAACCTCTCCCCCCTTTCCTGTCCACATCGAGGAACAGGGAAGACCCTTCCTCTCATTTCATGGGATCTGTAGCCGGAGCGCGTTATGAAGGCCTTGACAGAGAGCATGTTCCTTCCTTATCCGTTTAGGAAGCTCCGCAGAACCCCCAGGAGAGCCGTCCACCGTTAACTCATTCCTATTAAAAGCAATTGGGAGAAAGTTCATGTCCTTAGATGTTGTGCAAGTCAAAATCCTTCAGAAGCTTCACCACTCAGCTTCGTTTTTGCTTAAGTCCCTTGTGAACGTTTGGCTTTAGCATCAGAACAGATTGTTTGTCCCTTACTCAAATGTCCCGTTTCGAGATGAACCTCCAGATGAATCATAGTTACTGAAATGGGTCGTAGTTCATGGGGGACCTTGTGTATGTTGTTCATATTCACATAAAAGTGTATTTTGGTTGTTTTCACCTGTAGTGTCTC